TTAGGTACCTCTTAAAACTTGGACAAACTGTAAATAATCTGTATTAATTTGAGTAAAGTCTATTATTGTATTTGGGTCTGAGGACTCACACCCAGTTTATAAGTCTCTCCATCACGGTGTCTTTCTTAACACTTAACTTTTTTCTTTCCAAAGTTGAAAGAAAAAAGCAATTTTGATTTCCTATTTGGATTCCACTTCTATAAGTCATAGCATTTTATTTTTTAAATTCAGGTAATTCAGATTTTAAAAGAAAATGGGAGGAATGGGTATTAACATTAATATTCTAGATTTGGACATCTTGTTTCTTAAAAAAATGCAACTAGATAGAATGCCGTATGTGCAGCCCTTGAATCTAAAAGTGTAAAAGCCAAAAATAGTGATATAAAAGAAGGTAAAAATCCACACCACTAGCATAGATATCTCCAGGATGTAACTCTGTCAGCGTTACAGTAATTCTGCAGAGTGGAGATGTTGTGAGCTTAAAAGGGCTTGAAGAATAACTGTGAGGAAATCAGTTCCTTAATTACATTTTTAAAGAATAGTCATAGTCAATGCATATATCTATTGACAAGAAAGCAGTTAGTCTCCCTCATTTTAATATATCCCTACATGTGCACCACTACACACACGCACACGCACACACAACACACTCTTTCTTTTTTGCCCTACGAAAGCTTGCCTTCTCTCCTCCACAGCTGTCTGCAGGGAACTGGCACTGGTGACCAAGTCAGGCAGACTGAGAATCAGAGCAGTGAGTCAGTGTGACTTGCATTTGAAATTGCTAACCCAGCAGCACGTAGAACTGGGAACCGAGACTGGATGTGAGAGGTGAGGGCTCTCTGTGATCAATTCCATTATTTTCGTGCAACACCCTACCTAACACCTACAATCCTAAAGCCCAACTAAACCTCAAATTTTGGATGGCTGTTTGCCTGCCTGACAATTGTGTTTGTTTTCTCAGGCAAAGAATTCTGAAGCCTTGGGACAAATATATTGAATGCTTTCTAATCAAAACCTGAGCCAACAATGGAATGAATATATAGTTATGATCGGTTTGCTGGAGACTTAGTAGTTCAGTCGCAGCCTAGGCTGCCTGGAATCCCCAACAAAAAGTTACCTGTATGAATGTTTCCCACTCTGTGGCTGTCACAGCGGACTCAAATTCCTGCTAAGGCTGAGCAGCGGGCAAGATTCTTAGCTTCCTCTTTCCGGCTTCTGTGCAGGGCCAACCTGTGTTGTAACCTCTACCTGAAGCTGTCAGCTGGCTTGTATGACAGCAGTATGCCCGTGGTCCTAACTGATGTCTGGCAATTGAGGTCCTCTGTTTCTAAGCAACACGAACCCCCAGATCAACAATACATGAGTCTTTATAGTTTACGTTTTTTGGTACACTGCTAGTAAAAAAAAGAAAATTAGCAATTATGGACTAAAAATAAGGAAAACATTTGCCTTGACACATGTCTATGATGAAATAGCAAAGTGCAGATTGGTTATGCATGGTGAAAGGGTAAAGTTTAAAGGTTAGAACAGAGGCCATTTGTCAAATACCAACAAAGCACGTTCAATTATTCTGTGGGAAATGAGCTAAGTTTCCAGAATAAGAAAGAGAAAACAGTCCATTAAGTTCTTAATACCAGTCTTTAAATTGGTGTAATTGAATTCTCATTGACTACAAGAATGATATTTCCATCAGCTTGTGCAGTAAAAAGAGTGAACAGGAAACGAGGGATGATTTCCTTTGGTGTAAATAATAGTAGACGGCAGGAGAATTTATAAGCCGATCTCAGTCGGCTGAATGAACCTTCTTTATGGTCAAATATGGTTGTACAAATACAGTGCTGGGCTTGGAGTAGGAAAATTATGGTTTCAGTTCAGTTGATAATGGGGACAGCTATTTGTCTGGAACGTCAGCCAACAAGACTGTTTTGCTTATCCTACTGGATTTGGATTTTTGCAGGGGAAATCACATTGGTTGAAAAAGTGACAGTTTGTGAAGAAGGTAGTTTAAAAAATCCAAAGATTGTAGTTACACAGATACCAGTCCAGGAGTCAAGACACCTATGTTTACCCTAGGTTTTACTATTTCTGGTTGTAGGATTTGGGCCAGTTCTCTCCCCTTCTCTGAAATTGTGGATGGAATAAGGTGAATTAGAGCAACACAAGACACTGAACAAACATTTACGCCAAAGGATGTGGCCACTTGCACGCAGTTGTTGAAAGCCATATTGCATTCAGAGCATTAGTTAAATATCATGTGTATTGTCTTGGGTTGTAAAGTTAGAATAGGCTCAGAGTCTAAGAGGAATCAGTTCACAGGGTTAAAAGAAGATGACGTAGGAGGATGGGGAGGAAAAGGAGGAGGAGGGGAGGGGGAGGAAAAGGAAGAAGGGAAAGAACTGGGGCAAAACTCCAGTGGATACCACGTGTACAGACAACCCTAAGGAGTGTGTCTCTCCCATTGTGCAGTGAGGAGGCTCTTCTTTGGCAGAGCCACCACTTTCCACGGACAACAGCTGTCTACCTTTTCTCCTCACTTATTCCATTTAAACCTCTCACTCCCCTATTCATTCTCCACGAGTACACTGGAAGTAATTTTTCTGTAATGAAAGACTGATTTAGTTGTTTTCCTGCTTAAAACCCTTAGTAGACTTTCCATTGAACTTGGAATAAAATCCCAAAGCCTCACTATGTTGACCAAAGCCCGTCTTGTGCAGCTTCCAGCAGTGCTGGTCTTAAAGTCCTTCAGATGCAACCAGCTGATGCCCTGGACAAGTCTTCACTCAGTCTAGTCCCTTGACCTGCAGCGTTCCTGCTCTCCTTGCCGTTCTCCACCTGATGATCCCTTTGATTTCTGCTTGACTATTACTTTCTCACAAACCTTTCTCTTGACCTTTCCTCTTTGTCCTGCGTCCCACATAGCAAACTAATCACGCCATTATACGTGTTGGTTATATTTCATAAATGTTTTCCTCAATTTGCAGTTATAATTGTGGCATTACTTGTTTAATTTTCTCTCTTCCACTAGCAAAGAAACTTAATGCTTATTTTGACCAGCTGTGTATCCCATTAATGCAGAACAACACCTAACATATAGTTGGCACTCTAATTATTTGTTGAATAACTGAATGAGACCTATTCTCAAGTTACAGAAAAAGTGAAATACTGAACTGCCCAGGTTGTATTATTGGGACTAAGACCTCTGATAATGAAAATCTACAGAAAAGGAGAACAAGGAGTGGCAGGTGTGACATAAAACCTTTGGGTAATAACAGGGCGGGAGAGAGGTTGCCTCAGAAGAGACTGATGTGTTAGTTTAGCAGAATACTGAAGGGCTTTCTCTGACCATATGCGTGTGAAATAATAAACAGTATAATAAAAGTGCTTCTGGGTTAGAGAAGAAAGCAGGTCCCCTGAACCAAAAATATCAAACAAAACAGAAAAACTAAAAGATGAGGGAGGAAATGGTCAAGGAAGAACAATGCTAACCTAAGGGAGCACAACTAAATTAAAGCAAGGATTTGCAGGAGCCTGTACTAGATGAAGAATGAGGAAACGGGACAATGGAAACAGCACAAAAGAGGAACTGAATCACTGAGTGATACAGACGTAAGAGTTGGAGTCTGGAGAAATTCCTTGAAAAGACAACAGGGTGCAGTGGAAAAGGGCTAGATCCAGAGTCAGGACAGCTGCCGCCACCCCTGGATCTGCCCTCTGATCTGGTGTGTGACTGGTAGATGGTGGCATCTCATGTTCGTAGACAAATTGAGGGCATGGAAATGAGGCTAGGATTTAGACAGTGTTTCTGGCACTTCCAGGAAAAGAAAATCAAGGAAGTCAAGTCCTATTTCAAGACAAAAGCCAGGGTGTTCTGGATAAATGTGAAGGGAGGGTCTCAGCCAGTAAACCTCAGGGTGAAACACAAAATCCAAGACCCACTTCCTCACCTTGACGATGTTCTCTATTTACTGACATGTCATATCACTCCTCAGACAATCAGGTGTGGGAAGCCTGATGGAAAGCCTGTAGGACAAATATAAATCTGTGTGTTCAAATACATTTCTAGCTTTCTAGAGGGCTGTATTATTTTTATTATTGCTGTTAAGAGTTTCTATGGAGTCTGACTTAGTGCCTGGCTAAGGATGGTTTTTACTGCTCATGACAGTGATTCTGGGATGCAGCCTGAGGTGGTTACCCATCTTTTTCTTTTTACTAGGGTGCTTTGCTTTACCAAAATTAATACTGCTATTTTCAAATGAATGGCGGTTGTGCCAAAAGGGCAGGATTATTGGACCTTTACAGCAACTCTGTGCTGGTTAGAAGATCACATCTTTTGAATCTTTATCCTCCTCTCTATCCACGCTGCCTACTTCCGAACCCTCCCATCTTTTGCTCGGATTATTTTAACAGCATTCTAGCTGTTCTTCCTACCCACCTACTCCCCCCACCCCAAAGAAAAATCCAGCATGCTTTTTGCCACCAGAGTGAATTTTTTTGAAAGCATCAGATTGCATCACTCTCCTGCGTAAAAATTCTGAAGGATGAGGCTCCAATTTTCTGCATGACGTACACATGCCTTCACAGTCAGGGGCCAGTCTCCTTTCCAGCAAACCAGAGGATTCTTTTCTCCCACACATGCCAGTTCATGTCTCTTCACCTTTGCTCATACTTTTCCTTTGTCCTGACAGCCTTCTCTGATAAATTATTCTCATAGCCCCACACCAGCATTTGCTGTCTTCTTTTTAGCCTCCTAAAATACTTCATTCATACTCCTCTGAACTCTTAGCACACTGCATAATTTACTATAATAGAAGGTATTTCTAGAAGGCCTATATGTTTGGACCTCTGGTGTTTTGTATCGTGTCTGACATATAACAGACATGCAACAAATGGTGATTGAATTCTTCTGAACCCAACTGAATTAAAAAATAATAACAGATAGTCATGACTATTGAGTGTAAGAGACTAGGAGACCTTTTAATGTCTGGAGAATGATGGTAATGTGCCCTTTTGAGTTGACAGGGGCATGGAGCATCCTTTGTTGTCTACTCCAGGACAAACATTCTGTCCTCTGCAGCCAACTTAACCTGTCAAGAGAGGCACAGCTGCTCCCTTCCAAGAGAAAATGATCTGGATCTACCAAAAGAAAGTGGGTGAGTAAGATGACTAGGAAAGCATCCCTGAGGAGAGCAAGATACTTTCTATCCATCTTAATTTTTTCACGTGCCCGTTGGTAGAAACCAATGGCTTAGAACCCCCCCCCCCAGTAAAATTATTTTGTGATCAAATTTTTATGACCCTGCAGAAATCAGGACATTAAAAAAAAAAAGGGACATACAAACACGAATATTGATACGTATGTAAGAGAAGCAGTGTTGAATTGCCAACTGTCCTTTCTTAAGAAGGACTATCCTTCGTTCCAAGATTAAATCCTTTCAGCTTTCTTCCTGTCAGTTTTTCCTGGTTTATAAGAAAGAATGGTGACAGTGGTGGCCTTCTTGTTCTTTGGTTTTCATTTTTTTTTCTTTTTAAAAGATTGTTACTTGGACAAATTAGAATGTATTCATACCCTCTTGGAATTTAAAAGGATTTTGAGATTTGACTGATCCACAGAAGCCAAAGTCTGGGAACAAGAGAGTTCTCAAGAACACAGTGTGCAACCGTTGATAGCTATTGGGAGAACAAAGGACTGCGAAGCAACAGGCCAGAGTTCAAGTCCAGATTCTGCCACTAACTGAATATATAATCATCTGCTAATTGCTTCACGTAACAATGGGGCACCCGTGTTTGTATTTGACGAACGGGGATGCTGGAGAGGGTGTGTTTTCCAGATCTGTTAGTTACAGAGGTGCTGAGTTGGTGCAGAGTAACATCTAGAGCCACAGGAAAGGGAGGTGAGGCTGCACAGAGAAAGCATTTATCCTCTATTTCCCCTACTTGTCCTCTCACTTTAACCCCACCCATTTCTCTTTCATTGTTAAACCTAAACCAAACGCTCTGTGTTGACCTCTCTACATTGATGTCTAATGAATTACAAAGTCCAAAACCGAACTCCAGCCTTCCCCCTGCATCCACAGCCTTCTGCATCCCAGCTGATGGAAGCTCCCTGTCTAGTCACTCGGACCAAAAACCTGAGAAGTCATCCTGATCCCTCTGGTTCTCACAGCCCACACTGGGTTTTCCAGGATATCTTGTTGTCTGTATCTTCCAGATACGTCCAAGAATCATACCCCTTCCCATCATCTCCCTGGAGGCTGCCCCCTCAGTCTCTCGTCTGGATCTTAGAAATGACCTCCTTCCCTGCTTTTTCCCTTTAAGCTGACACAGTCCATTTTTCCCACAGCAGAAGACAAATATGAGTAAAACTTTCGTTGAATTGCACCATCCCTTTGGTCAAAACTCTCCAGAGGTGAAGACTTAACCTCACTCCGAATAAAAGGTAAAACGAATGCCGTGAGATAAAAAAAATTCGAATGATTTGTGCTGCGGTGGGAAGTGGGGGGCTTGTCACGAAGGCTTTTTTTCTTATTTCTCTCACCCATCACTCAGTTCCTGCCACTCTGGCTTCTGTGCTTTTCATCCAGCAAGCTGGATTTTTCTCCTGCCTTAGGACCTTTCCTTTGCTAACATTTTTTTTTCCCAATGGCCTTAGTATCAAAAATTCAACCCATGACCTTCTCCAGAATGCCTGATCCCTCTTATCCTACACTACTTTTTCCTTTATCCATCCTTTGTTCTTTAAAATTTTACATACTTTCTCTTACTCATTACCCACATACCTTTGATAGAATACATATTTAATGATAAAAGTTGTTTTTAGTGAGTATCGGTGTTCTTTTGCATTTATGCCTTCCTTGCTGACTATATTGAATTTAACGCAATTACTGTCCATTTTTATTCCTTTTCCAGATCTGGTAGGGACAGAGGGGTTTTCTGTAATTAGTTTATATATTAGAGTTTATGTTTCGCTCTGGAACTGCCTGGAGAATGGTTAGTGCTGTAGGTACAATATAAAAGTTAGTCGTTATCATGATAAAACCTCAATAAACACTTAAGCAACGTAACGTTATAATTTGGGGAGTTTATGGAATAATCTGCAGTAAGTGAAATCATGGAAGATTCCATTAGAGGCGGCCGGGCTGGTTTCCATAACACATGGCACTTCGTTCATCTTCACCCTAGCGCTTTTTTCACACAGCTCTACTTAACAGGCAAAAGCAATTAAACTCACTGTTTTGGAACTTAGCTCATCCTCTTTGCCATTCCTCCTCTCATCTTCTCCCTCATCCAATCTGTCATTAGCACACTCCACGCTCCGGCCTTGAGCTGGCCTCAGCAGAGCCAAAGAAAGAGAAAAATAATTTCCAGGAAAAACAGGAGACCTATCACGGAGTGTGAAGGACTTCGCGCCAAGACTCGAGGGTCCTGGAGGCTGCCTGCACTTTCTGGTACTTGGAGGCACGGGCAGCAGCGGCTTGACCACAAACACAAGTGTGTGTGCTCTCACAGGGCCCAGGAGCAACAGACAGGTAGAAAGTTGGCCAGTGGTAAAGGCGGGAGCTTTGTGAGATGCTGAGAAAGACTACTTCCAGCTCTCAGTCGATGCCGACAGCCTGGGCACGGGCAGAACTGAAAGGAGGGACTTTCAAGGCTGTATTATGGCTTTTTTGCGTATGTATGGAGTGATATGGTGCGCGCGCACACACACACACACACACACACACACGACAGGTTTCTACAGCAAGGCCCCTGTAACACTAAAGTGATGGTTGGAGGGGGCAACTTGGTCTGGCTCATCCGAGCCTCAGAATCTTATCTGCTAGGTAAGTTTTAACAGGTCAAACTAGCTATACATTCAATACCTAGATCTTGTTGAAAATTTACTCTCAAGTAATATTAAACATACAAATTTTAAATGGGCAAATTGTGTACACACACACACACACACACACACACCTGTATACCCCCCACCCTTGCCTTTCCATTACCCCTAGTGGTTCTCTAGATCCTCCTCTGGGAGGGAGTCTTCACAGTAGGAGTTTATAACGTTGAGGAAATCTTTGGAGAAATGAATAGTCCCACATCCTGCAGTGGTGGTGCAGAAGGGAGTATAATCCCGTATTTTTTGTCATTCTCTGGATACCTTCTCACCAGGAAACTGAGTCACTCAGTCAGGGTTGCAGCAGGACTGGTTCTGACAGCCTGAATCTTTACCTGTAGCTCTTTCTTTTCGCCTCTGTTTCTTACTGTCTGCATCAGGGAGTTAATTTCTTGTGTTGGCCTCTGCCAATGAGATTTATGCATTTATTCAAGATGGATTTCTTTAAATCCAACTCTTTTGCCCTTGATTTGAATGGAAGGAGCTACATTCTTCTAATATAACCATCAAAATTCTGGGAGTGGCTATGGGAATGTTGTATGTCTCATCCATAACCAGAATGCTGTGTGTCTTTCTTTGCATCCCCTGTGGCAGTCACATTCTTTCTGTAGGGGCAACATTCTTACTGCTTCCTTTATGGGGAATGGCATTTTAAACCTCGTTTTTCAGGTAGCATCACTTCCCGCTTGGATGCTCCATTTTCACAGTGATGCAAGACACCCTGTGTGATACCACTGACCACTCTTCCCGCTGCAGTAGTTTCCATTGTAACGAGGTGGTTATTGGATGTCAGGACCTTGCACACTCACCAGATGATGATTACTGTAATTAAGTGGAGTTTATATTTCACTAGGTAATTTAGCATATATTACATTCAGACAGTTATCCTGTGAAGAAGTTATTCTTACTAGCTTCAGCAAATAATGAGTAGGAGACTTCAAAAAGTTAAGCAATTTTTCCAACAGGAAAGAGCTGGGATTTGAACCCCAGTATTCTAGTTCCAAGTCTTATTCATGTTACTACATTATCTCTAGCTAGAATAAATATTGTTGGGGTAAAATCCAGCTGCGTGAAATCAGCCTGTTGGGAATGTGAAATGGTGGATCCACTGTGGGAAACAGTATATAAGTTTCTCAAAAAATTAAAAATAGAACTACCACGTGATCCAGAAATTCCACTTCTGAGTAAATACCCAAACTAATTAGAATCAGGATCTTAAAAATAAATCTGCCATGTTCATTGCAGCACTGTTCACAATAAATTACGGAAACAGCTCACATGTCCATTGACAGATGAATGGATAAAGAAAATGTGGTATTTTTACAGTGGGATATTATTCAGCCATTTTATAATAAGGAAATTATGTCATTTGTGACAACATGAATAAACCTGGAGGACACTATCCTAACTGAAATAAGCCAGTCACAGAAGGATGGATCCTACACGATTCCACTTATATGAAGTACCTTAAAATGAATAAAGCCGTAGGAGCAGACAATAGATCTGTGGTTCCCAGCAGCTGTGAGCAGGGAGAAATAGGGAGTTGTTCAATTGGCAAGGAGTTTCAGTTATATAAGATGAATTAGTTCCAGAGATCTGTATAACATAGCACCAGTAGGCAACAATACTGTAGTATTACGGACTTACTAACATTTGTTTAGAGGACAGATCTCATGTTAAGTGTCTTACTAAAACAAACAGAGGGCCACAAGGAAAGTTTTGGAGGTAATGGATATTATCTTGATGTGGTTGGTAATGGTTTCATGGGTGTATGTACAAGATTATCAAATTGTGTACATTAAATATGTACAGTTTATTTATCAACTACACTTCAGTAAGAGTATTAAGAAAGAAAGAAAGAAAGAAAGAAAGAAAGAAAGAAAAAAGAGAAAGAAGGGAGTCGAGAGGAAGGAAGGAAGAGATGAAGGAAGAAATACAGAAAAAGCAAAAGAAGTGATAATGGAAGACAGAATGGACATGGCCATAAGCAAGAGGGAGGAGCTAGAAATGTCTCCAAAGTGCCTGATGGGGAGACTGGGAAGAGAATGCTCCTTTCACAAGATTGGAAATGCACGGGTACAGAGAGGGTCAGATTTAGAGGAAAACAGTCATTTCGGATTTGTTCTTATCGAAGCTGAGTTTCCAGATGGAGATGTCAAATATTTAGACCCCAGGATATTGAGTTAAAGTTAATAGTTGGCATTTGTCTCATTTAGTATCTAAATTTTAGAAAATAGGATGTGGGAGTGGATGATATGGCCAAAGAAGATAGCATAAGAGGAAAGTGGATACGAAGTACAGACCTGCAGAAAACAATGCCATTTGAGAGGTGAGAAGAGCATGCCCACTCATCTCTGAGTATCTGATGGGAAGGTATTCGGGCGTGTGTGTGTGGGTGTTGACTGCATTGTTTACCTGGTGGTAGGACTGGAGACCTTACATCCCACCCTAACCCAAGCAGCCTCTGCAGGTTGACACAAGTTGTGTCTGAAAGGGTCCCTGAATTAGTTCTGGGCTCTACATCACTCGTCTCTGACCTCTGAGATGTGATACTCCTCCTGAGTTTGGCTGGGGTAGATTCTGATTCCAGAATTTCTCTTTTACCTTTACCCACCTTTCTCTCATATTTGTCCATCTTCCATAGTAGAAACCATGCCCCCATTACTAGCTGTGTTAAACTCTGAGCACATTTTTTAGTAAATTACAGAGAAGGAGTCTTCTGTTGGATTTTATTTTCTTAGAGTTAGAATCTCTTGATCGCCATGTGGAGATTGGTATACGACAATCAACTTTGTAGGTTAACTGTTAATGACAACACTATCAAAACTGAAACTAAAAACAGATTCTCTTAATCTTTTCAGACCTTCCAGTTATTCCAGATATAAATCAGGTAACTGAACCTGGAGTGCCTTTGAGATTCTCATCTGATGACCTTACTACGGAGCATAAAGCTTCCCGGATGACTGCAGCCACATGATCTCTCTGAGATTTAACTCACTTTGTATTTATTGGCAGCACTGCACACCTGCCAGGTTATTATATATTGTTCTGTTCTTTAATTGTTCAGTAATGCTATTGTCTAATAGTGCTTTCCTTAATAACTCATTGTTTTATGTGTGTATACCTTCTTTGACAACAGTTAACAAAGTCTTCTTTGGGGGAGGAAGTATGTTTTATATAGTTCCCTTGAAATGCAAGGTTTGGGGCATAAAGCTGATACAAGCACTCAGTAAAGCCTTTTGATTTATCAACTGATGCTTTGATTCCTTACTATCATTATTATAAGAACATGGTAGGTCACATGGAAATACTGATGATGCCTTTGCCTGCCTCGTATGGTGTTGTGAGGATCAAATCAGGTATTAGGAGTGAAATTACCCCAAGATAGATTATTACAAAGAATTCAGTTGAAATTGTTCTTTACTTTACAGGCTATGCTTTCTTGCCTCCTGCTTTGAAATATCAAAACAAAGAAAACAAATTCTGATTATGACTGACTAGTTTGTAACTAAGTCGATGACTTTGGAGTTTTGCTAAAGATATGGGCTCACTGCAGTCCTGAAGATAACCCTGCAGGCTAGTTACAAAATTGTTATGCAACTTCAAAAATAGAAACAAGAAGAGTTCTTTGCATAATATATTCTAGTATCGAAGGGAACTAGTTTTGATTTTGTTTTTTAAAGGCTTAAACTTTTCCCCTTTCCCACCATGAATAAAGACAGTTCTCTAAGGGCAAAACAAAACCTTTGAGCTGTAGATCCCAAACCTTGTCCAAAGCTGCCCTACAGATACTGCAGTGGGATTTTTTTAAAATTTTCAAGGTAAACATGGTAATAGTTGACATTTATTTGGACCCTATGTGAACTTCCAGCTAGATATAGTTTATAGTTTCAACACTAAATCATGTTGCCCTCCTTTCAGTGACATGTATCATATATCTTTTGTCTTGGTAGTTGTGACAAAAAGCAAATGTGGTGTGAAAGCTGACATGGAACAGGAAATGAAGATTGCCATATGCAATCTAATTCCAAGGTTTGGGAATTTGTGCAGTGTGCAACACGTGCACACATCCTGTGAGTCGGTATTGAAATTAAATAATGAAATAAGCGTATTTTTATCATTCATTTTATGTGTATTTTTTCAGACAACTAGTAAGTTAAGACATAAACACTAAGTTGTTTGGATCTATCTTCTTAACATACAACCGTTAGGCATTTTATTTTGCCTTCAGGCCGTGGAAAATTACTGCGATATTAAGGGCACAGAAAACCAAGAAAATTGGGAGACTCTGGCCTACTGCAATAACATAATGTTTGACTTTCCAATGTAGCTAAGTACTCCACAGTTAATTCATATTTATGTTAAAATTCCTTTTTTCTTTTATGAAGGTTTCAAGAGATTAGTTTTTACCTAATCTATAAATATAGTAAAATCATTTAAATGTGATTCTCCTCGTAGATGACCTGTGGAGGGGGTTCTGATATATGAGTGTCACTCTGGGATTAAGACAGTCACACCATCACTGCTGACTCAATCTCCCTATCTGAGGAATAAGCATGGATTGTACGACATCCTTAGTCCTGTCTAACCTAGCATTATGCAATGCTATAAACTTAAAGATTCTTAAAATATAATGGTAAGGACATCCAGGAGAGAGAATGAAGAGAGCCCCCCACCCACAGTGTAGGTGGCAGAGAATATGTCTTCTGTCTAGAAACAGTGACATACAGTTCCCATATGTGCGTGAAGCTTGCACTGACGCAGGTATGTACAAAATAGAGGACTGGTCGTGGGAGGCCCTGGATCAGCAGGTGTTGACACGTAGGTACCCAGGTCACACAGATGCTGTGGAGCAAGGATTCTATTTTACAACTTTGCTTGGGTCTTAGAGTCGGAGGAAGGGTACAGAGGAAGTCAGTCCCCACACGTTTGAGAGCCATATACTCAGAACCCAGTGCCATTCTACCAAATGTCCTGAAATTCACATCATGTGTATGAAGAAAAAGTTCCGTATCATTTGCCTTTGATGCTGAAATGCAGAGCCCCATGATACGTCCTTCAGGGCGACGGAAAACAGAGCTGGCTCTCCAGATATTTATGGAGACATAAGAGTCTGTGACTTGCCTTTTCTAACATTGCAGTTGCTGCCTTTATGCATGAATATAAACTATTGATTACAGTTTTGAAAATACTTTTTATCATCCTTTCAATGCTATTTAAGGCACTGAATGCTTTCTCGGTAATTTTTAAATTTTTTTAAGCTCTGCCAATGTGTGGGGCCTGCATTTCTTTTCAGGGCCTGTGCCTGTCACCTACCTTCGCTAGTCTATGCTTTGAATAGTTCTCTCGTGCCTTCTGTGTATTGTATTCATATCTGTCACTTTCTTGCCTCTTTTATCCTTTTTATCTCCATCTTTTCGGTTCCTCTGTGGGCTGAACTTTAAATTATTTTTCCTCTTTTATTTTCAGCACTCTGCCGTGTCTCTCTGGTGTTTTCCTCTCACGGTACTGTAACGTATTTATTGTTCCTTGAAGAATCCTTGTTGCCCTGTTCATTTATTTTCCAGTAATCTTTATTAGATCTTTTACTTTGTAATTTTTTTCAATTCTTTTAAATCACTTTTTATGCAAATTCTTTTTTTTATTTAACGCTCTTAGTTTGCCAGTCTCTGATCTTCCTATTACAGTTTCCTCTCTTCATCTTTACTTTTTTTCCCCCTTGATGTCTGTGAAATGTGATCTCCCCACTTTCTTTTTACTGTTTCCATGATTCTACCCCTCTGTCCCATTCCCCCATTCTCAGCCTTACAGCTTTGAATAATTTATTCTCTTAGCTAATACCTATCTCTTCCACCTTTTGGGGGGGGGGGGGAATCGATCCCTCCAAAAGAACTGGTTCCCCAGAATGGCTGTTTTAGTTATTTAAAGGAGGAGAAAATATATCTCTCAGCACCTAAAGCCTAAGGAAATTAGCACAACGTTGTAAACTATACTTCAGTTTAAAAATACACACACACACACACACACACACACACACGGCCTAAGAGATGACAAACTGAGGCACACACACACATACACACACGGCCTAAGAGATGACAAACTGAGGCGCGGCGCTGGAGGCCACCTCTGGGCTGAAGGAAGTTTAGGTGAAGTTAAGGTATGTAAATTCTGAGGTCACATGCACCACATACATTCAGTGGTTTCCCGTATTGGCCCAAGACAATACAGCTGCTTGATGGGTTCCTGGCGTCTTTTACTTTCTCTCTTTACTAGAAACTGAAGTCCAAGTTTCCGACTCAGACAAAAGTCCTGTACTTCAAGTGAAGACAGTCCTTTCTCTGACCTCTGTATGAGCTAACTTGGGATGGGAAAAATGGTACAGGAATGGACAAGTTGTTACATTCTGGCTTTTTCCTCTGTGCCTTTAAGGCTTGGCTGCTGCTTCTGTGTAGGGTAAAGTAAATATACAGACAGCTCACCCCCTCCTGTAAGAGAATGGCCCCTGAATAATGCATCATCGTTCAACAGTACTTGACTGGTAAGTACCCTCCAAGTAAGGTGTTTACCATTTCCTCCCCACTTTGAGGTGCAAAGTACCCATGTACTTTAGCAGGAAATGCCCAGAAAAGGGCACCGTCCTTGGGTCCTGGGGACCAGGAAGCCGATTCAGCTGCTCCTGGCTGTGAGTTTAGAAAGGAAGGGAGAGCTTCACTGCTAGTGGGAAGGAAGCGCTTCACTGCTAGTGGGAAGGAAGCTGCCGCTAAGCCTCCCCTCAGGGCACTTGCCGCTTCAAACACAGCAGCAGGGAAGAGTCCGGTAACCGGGGCTTCCACCTGAGTTACCAACCGGGGGGCTGTTGGGCGACACCCATCATTTCTCTCTCTCAAGTTTTCTCATCCATAAGATGAATTGGTTGCACTCAGTGAAATCTAAAATCCCTTTTAGCTCTTCTCCCCTGTCATAATGTTTCAGATTCCACCATTAAACATTGATTTCTTTTGGTTTTTAAGGCTTTTAGGTTTTCAAGGATTGCCATTAAAACGCGTACCTTGAGGGAGGAATAACACTTTAGAGTGTTTTTAGCGCATATATTTGAGGTGGTTTGACTCAGATCATAAGAGGAAGGTCATTTGGGAACAAGCCATGCATCGATCAGCTAGAAAGAACGGGGGCAACTAGGATCAGGGGGAGGCACCAGTGGGGTGACAGAGCCAATGTCACACTAAAAGAATAACTACATATAAATGACATCATAGAGTATTTTCCTTTCTCTTTCTGGCTTACTTCACTTAGAATGACGATCGTGGAATCTAAGAAAAAGACACAAGTAAACTTATTTACGAAACAGAAACAGACTCAGACATTGAAAACATAATTACCAGGGGAGAGAGGGTGGGAAGGGGTAAACTGGGAGTTCAAGATTTGCAGATGCTAACTACTATCTATAAAACAAAAACAAGGTCCCACTGTAGAGCACAGGGAACTATATTCAATACCATGGGGTAACTTGTAATGAAAAAGAATATGAAAAGGAATATATGTATGTACATGTATGACTGAAACATTACGCTGTACACCAGAAATGGAACAACATTGTAAACTGACTAAACTTCCATTTTAAAAAATGGAGAAAAAGAAGACTGGCTAAATACTAGTTTATTTTACGTATCTTGCTCAGTTCTTACAGAGAACCTGGGATGTAGTCACTACCAAACCCATTTTTACTAAAAAAACTGAAGTTCAAAGATAGGACAAAAATGTACCTACAGTCACATGGAGAAGAAGAAAAACTTGGGAACCAAGGTTATAGGTCACAGAGTTCACACCCACATTCTCCCCACCGCTGTGTGTTAATTTTTGCTTTGTGGCTAATTTTTCATAGTGTTACCTAAAGTGAATTCTGAAAAAAAAAGAAGTACTTCACATGGATTATCACATTTAGCCCTCATAGTAGGTATCTTTATTTTCCCCAGTTTCCAGATGATGATCCTGAAGTTTAAATATTTAGTTGTCTTAACAGCTCATGGCTAGTATGTATCAGGGAAACATAAAGCAGGTATCCACACACAGGGAAAGTGTGTTTTGGAATTCCACAGCAAAGCTCTAGCTGAGTACCACACTGAGTCACGACTGCCAAAAACTCTCCTTCCATCTCTAATGATCTGGTATTGCATTACTAATTTTTAATACTCTAAACTTTAATAAATTAATTGTGTTAATTGCTCTTCTTGTGCAGAATGGTTACAAATAACTTATCTCCTTTCCCATCCTTATTTTTTAATCAGCAAACTAATTCCCCTTGGGCCTATTTTAATTCAAACTGTTCTAGTCTTTCATCTGAAAGTCAAGTCACACATCCTGATTTGTTCATTTTGAATTTTTTTACCAATTCAGAATTAAAAGAGACACCTTTTTCAAATGTCACATGTTACATTTAAATTCTTCAAATACTTGTGGATGAATATCTTACTCCACCTCTGGAGCCAAAGTTTTTATAAAGTTTGTTTGCTTTTCAATATCACCAAATGTACTACACCTAAAACTAACATAATATTCTAGTATGGTTCAATATATTTTAATAAACTATATTTCAATTAAAATATCCATAACTAGATAGTATTGGCAAAAGTATGTCATTTAATTTTCTATGAGGCCAATTCTTCTATGACTGTAAAACAAAGGAGTTGTGCTAGAGAGTCTTTAAGATGCCCTCCAGCTTCAAAATGACATGCTTCTTAGCAAGCCAAAACCATCATTAATTTATTTGTTGGGAAGATACTTAATGAGAGCCTATGGTATGCCAAATACTCCATAAGGCATTGTGAATACGGTCATCAGTCAGCTGTTGCATCGGGAACTGAGAGTCAGCCAAAGAGCTTGTTGCAGCTGAATAGCATTTCTTTACATCTGTATGTTTTTGATGTACCTTTTCAGTGTCCCTTCCCTTTCACTTGTCATCCCATAATGGGAGGCATCCCTCCTGTTCTCCTCTTCCATCACGAATAGTCCCATTTTACATATGTCTAGCTGTCAGACTTTTCCAGCTCCCTCATTCCACTAAAACCATAGTTAGAGGTAGACCTAATCACAAATTAAGTATAATCACAAATTAAGTAGGTGCCTGATTTCCTATTATGGTTTGAGGAACATTCTGCTTGAACTTACTTTCTTCTTACTATTTTTACAGTGTTTAAAGAAATACACAGATAGCAGAGGTTTTCGCCTGAGAGAAGATAAGCCAGGGGAACAGTGATCGACAAGAGATGTAGTGATGAATGAGGTGTTCTGACATGATGGACGTGCTCATTCAAGGTCTTTGGTTTACCCAGTTATTTCTGAGCCCACCATACTTCTGAGCTCTCTAAGTCTGACAGCCATACACTGGAATATAGTTGGCACTGGTTTGGAAGGACTCATTCCCATCAAGTCATCTCTGTTGATTCTTTGAGTGTGGCGTCTATTAGTCCTTGACTCTCTCCAAGATTGATACCTCGCAACTCTTCTCTACCCATCTTTTTTTTTTTTTTTTGCCATATCCACAATCTCTTTCACGATTTCTTTGATTGATTCTGTCCTAAATCCTGTGCAGTCACGCACAACATCTGGACAGTTTTCTTCAGCAGGAATTTATTATTTTGAGCTTCAAGGCATTCATGGCTTTTTCTATAACAATGATGGTATCTTTCGTGGTGTAATCTTTCCAGACTTACATGATTTTCTCTCTTGTCAGCATTCTCTTCCATAGCGTTGATGATCCTTTCCATAGAGTATGATGCATAATGAGCCTTAAAAGTCCTTATGACACCCTGATCTAGAGGCTGAATTTAAAACAATGTGTTTGGGGTAAGAACATCACCTTGACATCTTTGGTATTGAATTCATGGGGTTCTTGGTAGCCATTATCCAATATATCCCCTCTCTTTATGGTCTGATTTTATAGATATGACATCTACTAATGTTACAAATCCAAGAATACATTGTTGTAATTACCATTTTACATAACTTTCTGTCTTTCAGAGCAGCCGAGAGAAGAAAGGAAATCAACCTCTATGTTTATAGGCTTTGATACATTCTTTTTAACGTTTCTGATGGGTTCAAATTACTATCTGGAGTCCCTACCTTACCCCAGTACAACTTGCTCCCACCCATTATACCTTCCTTTACTTCATTAATTACAGTTTTCTTTAGCTCTTTAAACATATTTGTAACAGCTGCTTTGAAGTCTTTTTCTCTTAAATCCAACACCTGGTCATTTTTGCACACAGTTTCTCTTGCATGCTTCTTTCTTTCTTTTCTTTCTTTCCTTTTTTTTTCCTTGTAAATGGGTCATACTTTTCCATTTTTTTGCATATGTCATTTTGCCATTGTTGGAAATTTGACATTTTAGATAAGGTACTGTAGCAACTCTGGATCCTGTTTCCCCTTCTAAGGCTCATTATTGTTACTAGTTATACTACTTTAGCTACATATATTTCCCTCTCTTAGTGTTCAGCTTCTGATAATGGTCCCTAGGGAAGCTCAGCTTTGGATTCGCACCAGAACCTCCAAAGAAAAAGCACATTTTGGCCAGCCCTTGTTTTCAGCCTTGTGAGATCCTAAGCTACAAACCCAGCCAAGCTCACCCAGACTTCTTACCTGTTAAACTGTGAGTTAGTAAATGAGTTTTGTTTAAGCCACTCCATTGCAGTAATCTGACACACATTAATAGAAAACGAATGCAATGGTTAACCAGTATCTGTATTACTCCACTCTAATCTGTTCTCCAGAGAATCCTTTCTAAAAGGGAAATCAGAGCGTAATTCTCCTTTGCTTCCAAGTAACTTCAGAAGAAAAGTTCAACTTAGCAGTTTCCAGAGCCTTACCTAAATATATCACCTGTGCTGAAGTCAGGTGAATCTGTACTCCTTCAGTAGCTAGCTGGGCTCTCACTCACCTCCATGTGGTTTCACGAAGCACCCC